AACTGAGGTGACTGGTGGTGGAACTCCTTCTCCCTTGCCGTGGGTCGGTGGAATATGGGAGTTCTTGTTGGTACTGAGAGAAGCATGGGTATATATACAAATTTCAGTACCGAACAAGGGTTGGGAAAAAGAGGGGTTGAAAGTGGGGTAGTGAGAGAAGGGCGAAAGTAATGACTAAAAACGAATTCGTTTTTAACGTTAAGTTCGCGGAGGAAAATGAAAAAACTGATAGCAGAAACGGATAGAGCATGCTTGGAAACATAGAAGTAAAAAAAAAGATACGTGATTTTAGGTTTAGAATTAGCAAAATAGGAAAAAGGTCTTTAAAAAAAGAAGTAGAAAAATAATGTCTTGCTCATAAAAAAAGTAAGAGGGGAAACTACAACCGCATAAGGGTAAAAAAATAGTAGAAAAGAAAAAAAATAGAGTAAAGCCAATTGATTATAGTAAATGAAACAAGTTTTTAAGTAGAAAGATAGAAGAGCGTAGTTATGTACAAGAACGGTTGTAGCGGATGGTGCAGGTAGTTGGAGCAGGTAATGAAAAGGGAAAACCGTACCTTTGGTGACGTCACATAGCAGATTGTTACGTTGGTTGAAGTTCCGGGAATAAACTACGCTGTATGTTGTATGTTGATATCACTTTATAGTATCTGTATTGCATCCTATTTCTTTAAATTTTCTGTCATTAGCAATTTTTTTCTCCATCGATTTTAGGAATTTCTGTTTGCTTTTGTGCACCACAGTGGATATTGTCACTGTAACTATACTTGATACAAATAACTTCTATATCGTAGAAGTAGCTTCGTCACAGGGCTAACTCTTCACACTCCACTCGTTGGAGCCTCGCGACAATACGGCTCCAATGCAAGTTGTCAAACGCGCTTGAGAAGTCGATAAACAGGCCTGGTACGTAACGTTTTTCGGACCTCTTCACCGTCCGATTTACTTCATGCCGGGCACTTTCGGTACACTGGCCAGGCATGAAACCGAACTGCTTTTCACTTTGCTAGTTGCCCAGCTTCGCCCGCAGTCGGAAAACCATCAGTCTCTCTAGTACCTTCCCCAAAACCAGTAACAGACACACAGGCCTATACGATCCGGGGTTGGTCAGATCTCTATCGGGGGACTTGAGTACCACACCTTCAGTACGAGCTCAGTGCTCTCTCTCCAGGTTCAGCCGACTTCGTCGCCTACCCTGATCTCACCTAGCGCTACGCTCTTGTTTTTCCCGCGGCAGATCTTGTAGACCTGTCCCCACGGGTCGCGGTTGCCATCTACATTGACACACTCCCGCCAACTTCTTTCCTTTTCGGCTCTCACTGCTTTCGTGTAGGAGCGGATACCCTCTCTGTAGCCCCTTTGCAGGTCCTCCACGTCCGGATCTCCTCTCCTTCGTGCTCTCTGGACTCGTTCCCTCCTGCGCCTCAGGGCGTTCCTTTGATTTCGGAGGTCGTTCGTCCACCAGGGAGGTATTGCCCTAGCAGGCTACCTAACCCTTCTCAGTGCCTGGACATTCGCGTCCACCACCCATCCTTGCAGCCTCTCGAAGTCAGCCATAGGACGACCCTTTGAAGTACTGCCTCCTCCCAGTCTGCCCAACAGGCTTCCCTGATGGACCACGCTGGACGGCTCTCCGGTGGTATTGTTGGCTGCACTCACAGTGATCTCAATCAGTATGGGACTGTAATTGCTAGAGGACCAGGTTAATTTCATTCTCCATGCGACATTTCCGCGCAGCCCCCTTGCGAGGGTGACGTCAATGTCGCTCTCCCCTACGACCGTCTCGTATGTAGACGTTTCCGACCGTATGTTTAGAACCTCTATTTCATGGGCTAGGATCACCTGTTCTAGGCTCTCCCCTCTCACAACCATTACACTTCGGTCCGTCATGCCTTTGCTGTGCCACAGGTGTGACTCACCGTTGGCGTCAAAGCCGATCAGCAGGGCTCTCCGCCTGCTTCTCTCCACGACCCGCTCGATACTCTGTATACTGTCCTCAATATCGTCTGCGAACTGACAGTATTGGGAACAGACATACAGTTTCCCGAACGGGCCGCTCAGATAGGCAAGGGCCTCACATTTGGTCAGGTCTTGGCTTAGATCGACTACGTCGACCTCAGAGCTGTCTATCACTACAGCCGCTTTGGGATCTTCTCCACCCTGCTTTCCCACAATCAACATCCCCGAGGCCAATCCTTGAGCGCCGCCAACCACTTGACTCTTGTAGAAAGGCAACACTGATCCCGTTCTCACGCATAAGCACACCGACTTCACACATGACCACATAGGATCTCCTACAGTTTAGCTGGAGAACGGTCGTGTCAGCCATCACGCGTATCTGCTTGCTCTATCCTGCAATGCTATTTTGAATATTAGGCAGGATCTTGATTGGTCAGCTGACCGTGTGGCAATTTCCGTTCTCGACAGTTCACACAGCTAATGGGCCTGTCGCAGGCCTTTCGCTGTGTCCCTCTTCTCCACAGCGGAAGCAAAGCGCGAAGACTGTGCTTCTGCAGGTTGCTGTTTTGTGCCCGAACCCTGGGCACACAAAACAGTGCAGTACGTCATCTGTGTCCTCGACCCTGCACTACTGCATGCCGAGGTAGACCCTTCTCTCGCGTAGTACGGTCTCTTTTACTCGAGGGGTGAGCTCGAGCGTTAGCCAGCACTCACCAGTCGGGCATGCACCACTTTCACCCTTCCGTACTGCAGGGGCCTTCCTCCTACCTCGTATTGTCACCCTGGAGGCGAGCTCCCTCCAGGATTTTGGCTTGGAGATCCCTAAGGATCTCCTGGTTTGTTAGGGCCGATGGGACATCCTTGATCAGGATCTTCGGCCCTATGTTTTGCGGTGTGGCGGCCGTGAGTCCCTGCTTCTTGAGCTCATCGCTATTTAGCAGTTCCTCTGCCTCTGCGGAGGTCTTCGTCTCAATGACCCTCCTTCACCCTGCGTAATGCGCACACCCGGACCCGTCCGAGTGCGCCGCCCACCGCCAATACTTTGGCCTTAACCTCATCAGCAGTGAGTTTTTTGTCGTGTGACCTCACGAACATCGCCACACCCTTCTGCTCCGAGGCAGCCTTGTTACCAGGCTTGGCCGTCTTGTTATTGTCCTTTAATACAGGGCGGCTCTCGCCCGCACTACCCGACAATACAATTTATTAAGCAAAATATTTACAATGGTGCCACTGCTCCACCTTGCGGTACTACAGCGGCAGTTGTTCATAATAGTAATATGTACATATGAATATTTACACTGCATAGGAGATTTAAAACTAAAAAACTAAAGAAAAAAAAACTTATCTAATCAACTCGATATATTTACAATTCCCTACTTCATCTCCTCCTTCTGCTCCCTTCGCGGGGTAAGAATACAACAAAACCTTCGAAAGTAAATTTATTATTGCTCAATTTACATAAAATAAAATTTGGATGGAGCAGAGACGGAGGGGGCCTGCGTGAAATGGTACCTACATTGAGTTAATACGTGGCGTCAAAGCCGGAATGAGCAAAGACAGTCTTCACGAATTGACTTATCATTATTTTAATTGCTTAGTTATTTAAAAGGACGTTGCTATTTGACCAATGTCCTCCTCATTCGACCGAGACGCCAACTGTGGAATGGGATAGCAAAAACATTTACAAAAGAATATGTATACACATGTATATATATACCATAAGTTCGCACGATTATTATATGTGTTTACAATCTGGGAAATATATACATCGGTCCAACATTCGCTGCAAGGGGTTGGGAAAAACCTAGGAAAACCCAACCAGACCGCTTTACGAACTTACAATAATAATCTAAAAAAACGAAGAAAATTGTACGTTATTTCAGCTAGGATACGAAAGGCAAAATATTCGCGAAATGATTTATTAATTATAAATTAGCAAACTGGGAACGTGTGACTAGCGCATTTGCGTTTCGTATTCGTGCCGAAACAACCATTTTTAATATGCACAATTGGAACATAGTTCCAAGTCCTGTAAGCGAGTATATACATTATTTACATAAACCCCGAATGATATTTACGGCGAAATTTTGAATTTGAATTAACCGGATATTAGCAATCTCGCAAAAGTTGAAAACGCGTTTGCAAGCACCGCACAAAAAATAAAATACAAAAATAAATAGCGATCGTTTCGAAGATTCTTTTTAACACGCCTGAAGCATGTTGTTGGAGGCTCGGGTCGTACCGTCAAAGACAGCATCGAACCCTCCCTTCCCGGCATCAGCACAACCGACGTGGTGCGGTTCCATGTCCGCCGTCCTGTGGATCGTCTTCTAGGTATGGTCTAGTGGTTTGGGCAAGTGGTGGACGGCGCAGGCTTCAGTCGCCACGTCGTTTAGCTCCAGGGTGGAATCCAATATCTGACCTGAAACAGAGAAACAAAACCCGACCGCGTCCGCGAACAAAAAACGATCGTTTCGAGCGATTACTGTGTACACCTGTGGTCATGTTGTTGGAGGCTCGGGTCATACCGTCGAAAAAAGCATCGAATCCTCCCTTCCCGGCATCAGCACAACCGACGTGGTGCCGTTCCATATCCGCCATCCTATTGATCGCCTTCTAGGTATGGTCTAGTGGTTCAGGCAAATGTTGTGGACGGCGCAGGCTTCAGTCGCCACATCGTTTAGACCACAGGGCAACAGTCCCTAAAAGACCGAAATTAAAACCGACCGCGAACGCGCACAACACAAGGGCAAATTTAATTATTTGCTTCAAGTCTTTGAACGCGACCCGAAAATGTTCGAAAAGCGTCCCACCAGTCCTTCTCGTTCCGCAGGTCGCTGACGTCCCTGTAGCAGGTAGGCCATCGAAGTCCTCGAAGGGTGAGATCCCGATCGGCCGTCTCCCGATGTTGTTCCTCGATGTTACAGTTGAACAGAACATGTTCCGCGGTATCGCTGCCGGTGCCGCATTCGCATGCGTCGTCGTCAATCTTACCGATGCGCTTTAAATATGATCGAAAATTTCCATGTCCTGTCATCAATTGTACCATGTGAAAGTCTATGTTTCCCGTTATTTTAAGATCGTAATTTGGTTCCGGTAGGAAACACGCAGTTATTCTACCGGTCGTAGCCGTCCTCCATCGTTCTTTCCATGCCTTCATTGTGTTATTACGTAGCCGCCTTTTCACGAGGGCTCTGGGAGCCAGATCGTAAATCGGCGGCGTCTGTTGATCAGTGGCCGCGTCCTTGGCAAGTTCATCCGCAACGTCATTCTTATAATTCCCCGAATGAGATGGTGTCCAGTGGAAACGCAGGTTAACTTGTGTCGCCAGGCTGACTGCAAGTTCCCACGTCTCGTGTTGTAGTGCGGTTGGTTGCTTCATATTGCGAAGGGCGAACAAAACAGACAGGCTGTCCGTTACGATGGAACACTCCGTGATGATCCCGATTTGCCCCTGTAGATGTGTTAGTGCTTGCCGAAGTGCGACTAATTCGCACTGGAAAATAGAACTATTGTCCGCGAGTGTAAATTTCTCTCGATGCAGCTCCGTCTCGCCGTGGTAGAGTACGAACGCGCCGCCAGCGCGCCCGTCTTCCTGTCTCGAACCGTCGGTATAGTACACGGTCTCAAAGGCGTCCCGAACCCCATTGTGGAATCGGAAATTGTCCAGGTCCGCCGGATGAGTCGTATCCTCCATGATGAACCGTCGTTCGATTTGCCGGTTTCCAAGTTGTACGTCATTGATTTCGTTGTCACGTGGTCGGCCAGCGAGATGGCGGTACCTTTTCGCCGTCTCCTGCAACAACAAATCAAACGGCAGAATTCTACCCAACACGAGAGCAGCATCAGTTGAAACGGTACGATAAGCCGCCGCCGCTTTAACCGCTAGGATACGTTGCGCGCTCAACAGAGACCTGCCCTCTTTGACTTTACACCCCTTTGTCCATATCGGCGCGCCGTAAAGCATCGCCGATTGAACCGCCCCTTCATAAACTTTTGATAAAGCCACGCCCCTGAAAACCCACGTTAATCTCGCAGCAGCCGCAATTTTATGCGAAATTTCCTTGCCTTTTTCTGCCACGTGTTTTATATGTTTTTTCCAATTTAATTTGTCATCAATGAAAATTCCTAAATACTTAATATGGTCCGAGCAATGAATAAAATGGCCGTTTAAGGTAAAAGCGGGTCTCTGTTGGTTTGGTGATTTTCCAAAAAATAGCGCCTCAGTTTTTCCCGCATTAAAACTAAGTTTTAGATCCTCGGCCCAATTTGATAACGCCTGTGACGCTTGGTTGACTGTACTTTTAAGTAATTTATACTGACGCGCTTCGACTACCAACAGTGTATCGTCGGCAAATGAAAAAATCTGAGCTCCGTTCGGTAATTGAGTATCAAAGATAGTATCATACAAAATATTCCACAAAAGCGGGCCGGAGCACGAACCCTGCGGACAACCTCTTTCTATGTTTTTTGAAACCGCGGTGCCGGAAATTGAGACAACAGCGGTTCTATCGCTGAAATAATTTCGAACTAGATTGATTAACTTCGCGGATATGTTACGTTTTTGCATTTCTACAATTATTCGCGGCCACCAAGCGTTATCAAAAGCTCCGGATGTATCTAGTGCAACGGCAGCGACGTAGTTGTCGTTTTCGCGAGAGTTTCTTATATTCATTATTACTGCATTGATGGCGTCTGTGGTGGACCGCCCCGCGATAAAACCGTACTGATTATTATTCAATTTGCCGTTTTTATTCATTTCGAACTGAAGTCGCGTTGTAAAAATTCTATCTAGGACTTTACCAACTATAGGAAGCAAACTAATCGGCCGATAACTTTTAACGTCACTAAAACTGCGATTACCCGGTTTAGGAATAATTTTGACAATTTGTTTTTTCCAACAAGTCGGAAAAACGCCCGATAAAAAACAATCATTAAAAATTTCTATAAAAACGTTCGGCGCGAGTTGAAAAGCCGCCAAGGCCGCGTCCGATGTAATACCATCACATCCTGGTGCTTTTCGCGAATCCATTCGCCTAATTGCACGTTCAATTTCCGAAAATGTAACTTTTTTGAAGGGTGTGTCATCTAAAAAAATTGTATTGACTGATTCGCGAAGTCGTGAATGTGATTCGTTATCGGTCCCGACGTTGTCCGACGAAAAGAAAGATTTTAAAATAAATTCTGCGGTTTGTCGCGTGTCCGTCGTGTACGTTCCGTCGGCAAGCTTTAAATTGTGAAAAACCGCGCGATTTGATTTTTTACCGCGAATTATTTTATACGCCGTTCCCCATGGGTCTTTATCAAAGTTACGCGTACAAAAATCCCGAAATTTATTTTTTGGAGAAGTTCCTTATATTCGCGAAAAATTGTGTAATACGCGTCGCGCTTAATTCTGCGGTCGGCGTCAGTCTTTGCCCGTTGAAACAATCGTCTAAGTCGGCGAGATTCCGATCTCTTTTTAGTAAGTTCTTCGGTCCACCAAGGTACACTTTTTGCGAAGTGTTTTTTAATGCGCATCGATGCCTCGCAAGCCTTAATAATGCAGTCATTTAAAAAATGCGCGCGCTCCGAAATACTGTTTTTGTCGACTAGTTCTATATTCCTAATGTTTTCCGTAAATTTATCCGAAAAAATCCGCCAATTTGCTTTTTTGTTACAAAACCTACGGTCACCTATCTCGGAATCGCGTTTTTTAAAAGAAATTTGCCGAAAAATTAATTTATGATCTGAAAGTGTTTCTTCGTCGACTATATACCAGTGACAGCAGTTATGTCCACAAAACTCGATCCGCGATGTCCTACAAAAGTTGGTTCTGAATTGTCATTTAAGACTGTTAAGTTTTTATTCTCAAAAAATCTTTTTTTATTCCCCTATTATCATTAATTTTACTTCCCCAAACAGAGTTTTTTGTATTGAAATCACCAGCGATAATCACTGGTTTTGCCCGATAGTCTATTACAGAGAAAATGTGATTCAGTCGATCGATAAATAAGCTGTCGTCGACATTCGGCCCTACTGGTGGTAAATAGACACTAATGATTATTAAACTATCGGTATTCACGGCAATTTCGCTAACGACTATATTCGCACAAGAAACACTTTCTAAAAACAAACAATTTATGTCTGTATTGTTTANAGCCACGCCCCTGAAAACCCACGTTAATCTCGCAGCAGCCGCAATTTTATGCGAAATTTCCTTGCCTTTTTCTGCCACGTGTTTTATATGTTTTTTCCAATTTAATTTGTCATCAATGAAAATTCCTAAATACTTAATATGGTCCGAGCAATGAATAAAATGGCCGTTTAAGGTAAAAGCGGGTGTCTGTTGGTTTGGTGATTTTCCAAAAAATAGCGCCTCAGTTTTTCCCGCATTAAAACTAAGTTTTAGATCCTCGGCCCAATTTGATAACGCCTGTGACGCTTGGTTGACTGTACTTTTAAGTAATTTATACTGACGCGCTTCGACTACCAACAGTGTATCGTCGGCAAATGAAAAAATCTGAGCTCCGTTCGGTAATTGAGTATCAAAGATAGTATCATACAAAATATTCCACAAAAGCGGGCCGGAGCACGAACCCTGCGGACAACCTCTTTCTATGTTTTTTGAAACCGCGGTGCCGGAAATTGAGACAACAGCGGTTCTATCGCTGAAATAATTTCGAACTAGATTGATTAACTTCGCGGATATGTTACGTTTTTGCATTTCTACAATTATTCGCGGCCACCAAGCGTTATCAAAAGCTCCGGATGTATCTAGTGCAACGGCAGCGACGTAGTTGTCGTTTTCGCGAGAGTTTCTTATATTCATTATTACTGCATTGATGGCGTCTGTGGTGGACCGCCCCGCGATAAAACCGTACTGATTATTATTCAATTTGCCGTTTTTATTCATTTCGAACTGAAGTCGCGTTGTAAAAATTCTATCTAGGACTTTACCAACTATAGGAAGCAAACTAATCGGCCGATAACTTTTAACGTCACTAAAACTGCGATTACCCGGTTTAGGAATAATTTTGACAATTTGTTTTTTCCAACAAGTCGGAAAAACGCCCGATAAAAAACAATCATTAAAAATTTCTATAAAAACGTTCGGCGCGAGTTGAAAAGCCGCCAAGGCCGCGTCCGATGTAATACCATCACATCCTGGTGCTTTTCGCGAATCCATTCGCCTAATTGCACGTTCAATTTCCGAAAATGTAACTTTTTTGAAGGGTGTGTCATCTAAAAAAATTGTATTGACTGATTCGCGAAGTCGTGAATGTGATTCGTTATCGGTCCCGACGTTGTCCGACGAAAAGAAAGATTTTAAAATAAATTCTGCGGTTTGTCGCGTGTCCGTCGTGTACGTTCCGTCGGCAAGCTTTAAATTGTGAAAAACCGCGCGATTTGATTTTTTACCGCGAATTATTTTATACGCCGTTCCCCATGGGTCTTTATCAAAGTTACGCGTACAAAAATCCCGAAATTTATTTTTTGGAGAAGTTCCTTATATTCGCGAAAAATTGTGTAATACGCGTCGCGCTTAATTCTGCGGTCGGCGTCAGTCTTTGCCCGTTGAAACAATCGTCTAAGTCGGCGAGATTCCGATCTCTTTTTAGTAAGTTCTTCGGTCCACCAAGGTACACTTTTTGCGAAGTGTTTTTTAATGCGCATCGATGCCTCGCAAGCCTTAATAATGCAGTCATTTAAAAAATGCGCGCGCTCCGAAATACTGTTTTTGTCGACTAGTTCTATATTCCTAATGTTTTCCGTAAATTTATCCGAAAAAATCCGCCAATTTGCTTTTTTGTTACAAAACCTACGGTCACCTATCTCGGAATCGCGTTTTTTAAAAGAAATTTGCCGAAAAATTAATTTATGATCTGAAAGTGTTTCTTCGTCGACTATATACCAGTGTTTTATTAACTTTAACGCTTCATAATTGACAGCAGTTATGTCCACAAAACTCGATCCGCGATGTCCTACAAAAGTTGGTTCTGAATTGTCATTTAAGACTGTTAAGTTTTTATTCTCAAAAAAATCTAAAATTTTTATTCCCCTATTATCATTAATTTTACTTCCCCAAACAGAGTTTTTTGTATTGAAATCACCAGCGATAATCACTGGTTTTGCCCGATAGTCTATTACAGAGAAAATGTGATTCAGTCGATCGATAAATAAGCTGTCGTCGACATTCGGCCCTACTGGTGGTAAATAGACACTAATGATTATTAAACTATCGGTATTCACGGCAATTTCGCTAACGACTATATTCGCACAAGAAACACTTTCTAAAAACAAACAATTTATGTCTGTATTGTTTACAACAATAGCACTTTTAGGATAATTAGCTTCTTTAGATATTATCAATGAACTTTTGGAAAAGCCAATAATTTTCGATCTATTGACCGTAGGTTCCCGCACTAAACAAATATCTAATCTTTTATCGGAAATTACTTTCAAAAGATTGCTAGTAGCCGCCTTGCCCTTTCCTAAATTTATTTGACCAAAATTTAAAAAGAAATCCGCGTCGGGGTAATTTTTATGGAATCTATTGTCCATAAAAATCGATATTTGCTAGAATAGAATTTTTAATCCTATTCATCGTAGGGCAAGACGTGCTTTTCGCGTCATGATCGGTATTAACCTGCCCGTGTTTTTTGTCCTTGTTGGACCTAACGCACACAATGCAAGTCGTTTTACTCGACTTGCATTCGCTAAACCTATGTTTACCGCCACATTTACCGCAAATTTGATCCTTAACTCTGCAGTTCTTCGTGTCCGTAATCGTAACACTGATAACACTGCAAAAGCGAAAAGTGATCCCGAATAAAAACTCTTTGCCAATTCAAATAAATAGGCCTATCTAACATCTTTTGTCTCAAGAGCGGATTTACCTCGAATATAGCGCTATAGCTGTCCCTGTTGCCGCGGGCTTCAAATACCGCGAGTTGTTTAAAATCGGATTTAAACTTATTTATGTCATTGCCGCAAAATTCATCAATGAAATCGTTATGCCCTAGAATTGTTTCATGTAAATGTTCCGCATTTAATTCTCTGTTGATCCTATCTATCCTTACTCTAGGCCAACGTTTTTTTATTTCCCTAACAGTGACTTCCTCCTTAGCCTTAATCAACAACGATTTTTTAATTTTGTCTGCGTCTTCTTTTCTCGCACAATCTACTACAATATCTCC